CCATAGCAAGAGTGTAAGACAACTCTCACAGCTTACCCCTTCACACCTCCTATGAAACCTTGACCTCTCAAATTCTAGCACTTACTTTTAGAACTCCAACCACAACCTTTAGTGTTGATGTAGTTTATACTATTAGAAATAGTGAAGAAGCTCATACTTTAGATCTTGAAAAGTGAAAGGAGGAAGAAGAGGAGTTTGAGTTTGGTGGAACAAATTAGAAAGACAAGGATGATGATGATTTGGTGGCTAAGCGAAAAGAATTAAAAGCAGAAGAGAGTGATAAGGATTATTAGACTCTTCAATGATTTTTTGTCTTTAAGTTTTATTATCTAACTTTTTTCTGAATTGATCTTGTTTGACTTTTGTACTCTTTAAATATTTTATTGTATTGTTTTATTATTATAAACTATGATTTTTATTTGCTAAGACTAGAGAATATTATTTTTTAAAATAATTTTTTATAATTTTTATAAACTCTTAAGTTATTTTATATTTTTTATTATTAGATTTGTCTTTTATTTTAATTATTAGGTTTATATTTTTATTTTTTATTAAATGCCTGTTATTTGTCTATAGCGGCCGTTACATTACCCATTACATTATCATAGCAGATCTTGGTCTTTTCACTATTGACCGCTATCTGCTATTGAAAACACTAATTAAAATTTGGAAATTTTAAAAAAAATATTAATATAACAAAATATTAAAAAAAGTAGACAAATAAAAGTAAAATATGAATTTTAAAATTTTTTTTATTTTAGATACATTTTAAATTTAAACACTAAATTATAAAAAGTTTATAAAGTAAAACTAAGAAATGAGATTATATAAAATAGTTTTTATATTTATTTGTAATATTCAAATAACTGTTATTTATTTATTAATATAAAATTTTATTTTTTAATTATATATTCAATTTTAATTTCCTAACTCTCTAATCATTAACCATCAAACTTTTCAACTATTTAACTAAAATGATTAAAAACATAACTATTTATATTTAATTATTTAGTTAACATTTTATTAATTTTTAATTACCCATTTAATTAACAAACCAATACCCAATCCTTGAGAACGCTAATGAAATTTAAATACTTCCATTGAAAATAAGGTAAAATAAATTTTTTAAAAAAATCTCATTGGCGACGAAACCAGTTCGTCTTCCTTCTGTTCTCGACGACGGTAGGTCTGCCGTTGAAGGTCTTTCGAGCTCGACGAAGTGGGACAGGGCTAGTCAAACAGCCTCCGAGTCAGTGTAAGGTGATCTTCAACTTACTTCACCATCCTCAATTTCCGGCTCCCACGATCCGTCGAAACCTTAAAACAAAATAAATTGCAAATTCATATGTGGAGAAGCTTGAAATGGAATTGAGCGGCTCAAAAGCTTCAACTCCAGATCTTGATGAACTGGTAACTGATTTGAAGATTTTTCATCTGTTGCCTTTGGATTATTGCTTTCCTCTTTTCCTCTAATTCCTGTTTGGTAATCTAGAACCGAAGGAAGGTCGGAATCCTTAACGGATTGCAAGATTTACGAGAGAGAATCAGCAAGGAGGGGGCTGACGCAGCAGTTCACAAGTTGATATCTCTTATGCAGACGCTAAAGGTTTAGAATTATGCCTTTCTCTTGTTTTGGATAATGGGTTTTTTCAGTGGTTGCTTCCTTCTTACTATTGGCAACTGACAAACCCTTTTCAGGCTCTAGAAACACAGGAATCTGAGTTTCAGTCTGATTGTGATGCGAAACGTTCTTCATTGGAAGCTGAAGTTAACGATTTGGAGGTAAAGATTGCAACCGGTTGTGATGGTGATCTTGATGATTTAAACGATTCTTTGAGAAAAACATTGGAGAAACTTGATTCAGCAAAGAAGGTAATGTTTACAGTTAGAATGTTTCTGTAGGGCTTATAGGTTATGTTTGGATAAGAGGTTTTAGTCTCATATGTTAGGTTTCTCACAGGAACTTGCAGCTAGGCTAAGGGCAATGCTATCACTCAAGCGGCAGCTGGATGATGTGCCGGTGCAGTCAGAACTCATCCAGTATGTCGACCTTTCCTTTTCCATTTGCTATATCAGAGCTTTAGGTTGCAAAATCTTGATATTATTGTTTCGTTTGCTTTTGAATTTGAATCAAGGTTTGTGGTTGCTCTTCATTTGTCACACCCTAATCCACAGCCCAATTTGATGTTTTAAACTTGTAGCTGTTTGAGATTTTGCATTTTAGGCTTGGAAAAGTACCATTTATTTTCAATGATCAGTCACCCTGTGGATTTTAGAATTTTTGCAAGTTGAGATGAATAGTTCAAATGTTAAAACTTAGCATATAGTCCATATATTTTCTGAAATCTATCTTTTATGTTTTATTTTTTAATGTTAACGCCTTGGATCTAAATAACATCATTAAGAAGTGCTACTTATCCAGTTGGTTTCTATATAAGCCCACATATGATTTAACTCAACCATTGCTTTGTAGGTATGAGCGCCGATTTTCAGAGCTCAATGCTCATATCCAGGTTTGTTACTTTGACTTGCTTTCTTTTCATGTGACTTATTTTTCATTGATTATCATATCTGTTCTAATTTTCTGTATCGATGCTGAACTCTTGTCTTTGATCTTTTCTGTTTTGAAGGAAAAACTTCAACAAACCCGGAAATATTACGCCACCTACAATGCTCTTTTGGAGATTAAAGAGTTGATGCTAAAGGAAACTTCCTTATTAAATTCTATAAGTTCACAGGTAAGTGTCTGAAGAAGAGTCTTGAACTGGAAATTTTTTTTTGGTCGTCCTTGAACTGGATTTCCATTGCACCTTATGCTTCAGTTTTAGTCTCAATGAGAAGTAAATCATGTAATGTTGTCAATTATAAAGTTTTATTTTCACCTTAACAAATGTGCTTTACTAATTTGATGGTGGCATCCTGACATTTTAATGGAAATTAATGAGCCATTTCTTTATGATCAATTGCTTCTCTCTCTTGATACTGTAGAAAAGATATTTGAATTGCTGCTTCACTCGACTTTTTCTTCCCTTTATGCGGTTGCAAGTTAGGATTTAATTGCGTTTTGTGGAGGTATTCTGACATTCTATTGATACCAATCAGCTATTTCTTTATGACCAGTTGCTCCTTTCTCTTGCTACTTGTTTGAAATGCCGCTTCACTAGACTCTCTAGCTTTTCTGTGGTTGGATGTTAGGATTTAATTGCTTCCATAAGATGTTAATTGCAAAGTGCATAGAAACATTGAAAGTTGTAATTAGCATACAATGGCACTATAATGGAGAAGTGTAACATTTCCGGAACATAAAAGTAAAAAACTAAGTCTCTATCTGTGGCTGAAGGTATTGCCATTTTTCTATATAAGGCCAAAAGCTTGTGAAATTCTTTTGCAAAAGAAATCATCTATTTCATTAGACTTAACTGACAGCATGGATGATTAAAAAGTAATTGAGTGCAGATGAAATTAGTTTATTTGAGATGCTTTATCTTGGCTAATAGAAAATAGTATTCACAAAGATTGAAAATGTAATTTTGGAAGTCATTAGTTTTGCATTTTTAATTGGTCTTCCATTTTCTTCCTCTCTCTTTTTTTTTTTTCAGTTAGTTGTTTTTCCTTTCTAAGATCATTTTGTTAATATTGAATTCTTTAACCTACATTATGATTCACCTTCCTTGTGCTAGACATTGGCCTGGGACCTAAAGTGTCTAAAATATGCTATTGTAGTCAAAGCTTTAATCAGTTGATAATCAAACAATGACAGTTCAGTGGTTAAAATATGTTGTCATTTCCACTAACTTATTTTGCACTTAACTTTGTGCAGTTTCAAGATGCCTTTGCTAGCACTGAAGGTCGCAGCAAACTGCTTGATTCCATGGAAGGAATTGTCAAGTCTAGCCAGCAGGTATTGCTTCCTTTTCTTGTGTATAAATTAGGACAAGTTTTGTTAGAAAAAGGAATTGTAGGTCTTTGGAGGCACTCATTCACATTTCCAGTAGCCTTTTGGTTTTATGTTGTTCTATCTTCTAAACAAGACAATAGAATTTTGGCAGAATCCAAATGGTTAGGATGAACTTGTGTGTTCTCCCTCTAATTATTTTTATTCTTATGTATAAGGATATTTTTAATTATTAGAAGTCATGCTCATACCACATGTCTTTTGCAGAAGCTGGAAAAGGTGCAACTTGGGCTGCAAGACGAACAGAAGGTTTATGATGCACTAAAAGAGAGGTATGCTGCTGCAATAACACAGAAAAGATGCTGCTATTCTCTCTTAGAAGCTTTTCAGGTAAGAACTGTAATAATGATGTTTAACTACTGTAATAGTAATTATCATGCCACTAAGAAATATTCATAATTTTACAGAGATTATTCATCGATTGTTCATAGAGTGTGCTTCAATTATTTGTGGTGCTATATTATAAGGAAGCCCCAATTTTTCACATTTTGCATACAATATGGTAGAACAATTTAAAGTTTTAAACTAGATTTTGAGATTGATCTCTTATTAGTCTATTTTTGAGTTGTGGCTATTGGATAGCCTAGGCAGCACTGTTAATTATCTTGTATTGGTAATAACCCTGCATCAAGGGAAAACTTGTTTCTTAGGCAAGTTTACATCATAAATGATGTCATTATTTTATGTCAAAAGAAAGAATCTGTGTTAAGCACCAGATCATGTGTGTATTTCCCATATCAAATATTTGTCAGCAACTATGAAGAAAAGTTATTAACTAGTTGATAGGAAGGGATAGGCAAGAGATAAGGGGAGAGAAATGGATAGCAAGCAGTGGAAAAATAGATGAAAATTAAGGGAAAGAAAGGGAATATTGAAGAAAAAGGTGAGAAACTAGAAGACTTAGGGAGAATAAGCAGAAAATATTAGAGGGGAAATTGATTCTTAATTTCAACATTAACATAACATGGCATAACCTGAACCAAAAGACATTTGTGTATAGAACTTGAAGTCCTAATCCTATTTCCAGGTAGAAATAGGACATTAATAATAACCTTCATTAACACTAAACAAAATAAATTTCCATATATCCTAGACTTACATTAAATTGTGTTGTTTGCCAAATAGTATTGATAACTATTCTAAGGATTGTTCCTTGAATCATCACTGTTTTGCTGGATCTTGCGCATTCAAATTGAATAATAGTTTCATTTCTAAGTTTGGATGAGGGATGACGTATCATCATCACTTTTTGTTAGCATCTGAGGAGAGAGGAGGTGGGTGGGACAAGAGATTTATCTAATTAATTTTATGCTAGTTATTAATTTGCAGACTGAAAGTAACTTTCACAAATGTTTTGGTGGTTATTATTTGCATATGTTGTTTTCGGTTCTTGGTTTGCTCAAATTTATTTGGAGCTTCCAATTTTTCAGGAGGAATGTGCAAGAAACGAGAGACTTAAGAACCAGATTTCTGCTCAGAAGAAGAACTAGATCATTTAAGGTTGGATATTCAAGCATCACCCATGACGGCCAATTTTTTTTTTTTTTTTTTTAAGGCATCACTAATAACATGGTAAAAATAGCAGACTGCTTACAAGTTGCCAGTCAAATCGCAAGTGAGCTGATTGCTTACAGAAGTTGTTTGTCAGAGAAAAGTGATATTCACGGTTAGATTTTGTACTTAATGAGAATGTTGTCTTACATGTTTGTCTCATAATTTTAGGAGTTGTATGCACACACACACACACACACCATAATTTTAGGAGTTGTATGCACACACACATACACACTATTATATTTAATGTAAATACATCAAAGGTTTAACTGAGTAACTCGTCTCGTTACTGTTCCGGAACATTTTTTATACGTTTTGGTCCTCTGCCTATTTTTCCAGAACCTTTTTGGTCCCTTCGTCAAGGAGGATGGCGGTGATC